CTTAAAAATTGCATTTAGACTGTGTTTCTGATTAAATAAAGCAGTAATTGATGTCATAAAATTACGAGTATGTTTTGATTTAAAGGTCAGAAGCTATAGCTTACATGAAAAAAAATCAAACATGACACTTGTAAATTAATTTTATATATACTGATCATAAAACAAATCATAAGCTCTAAAAGATTTTCAGAATTTTTACAACACTTTTGCTTTAGACCATCTACAAATGTCAAATCTTAGAATAAAATGTCAGGGTTAACACTGCATCTTTCTGGGGGGAAAAAATGCAGAGATTGATATATAGTTTATTTAGGGCAGCTATAGTTATTTTCATAGCTTCAATGTACTGTCAAAAAAACCTTCATTGTTGTTTATTTAATTCTAACAAATTAGTTCTTGTTAAAAACTAATCAAAATTAAAAAAATATTTTGCTTATAATTTCTGCACAGGAGAGACTTGGTGTTGTTTCCAAACGAAAGGAAATATATCGGTATCGGCATCGGCTATCAGCCTAAATGAATTGAAGAATCCAATATCGTACATCCCAAGTTTATACATGAACTCAAACTCTTCCAGCTTTAAAATGAATCACAAGGACTAGCCAGCCTGGGTCACATGATCATAAACGATAAAATTACTTCCTTGTTAACAAACTTGAGGAAGGACCAATGGCACAGCAAGTCAGGCTTGGGCCCTTATGCAAATATGATTTAACGGGGCTTAAGCAACAAATGCAAAAAAAAAGAAAAAAAAGAAGGTGTTTATAGATGCTCACTGTAGGGTATCAGGAAAATACCGTACCAAACATGTATCCGATCTATTTATTTGAGTCTGTGAGATGGTAGTTGTATTTAACATATTTAAATACTTCAATAGCTTACTCACACACATCCTCTTTTCTCATCTATTACAATAGTAAACAGTAAGTGAGGTTAGAAAAACATGACCAGACATCCGTCTTTGACTAATCAGATGCTTATGAAGATAAAGACAAACTTATTTAAACTGAACATAAGTTATATCTCAATGGTCCTTTCAACCCAAAGCAGCAACAATCACACACAACACTCATCAGTGCTGAATTGACAAGAGCAGAGCGCATTTACCCAGACTAAATTGTATCAATCAGTGACATAATTTATGCTGTGACATACAAACCCCATTAAACTGGTTTATAGATTTGATTCCATCTTAATAAATCTAACAGAATATAACAATTTAGCAATTACACCTAGTCTACTATATAACAGCTTATTTGTATTATAATTGTCCACACATCATATGCGCCTAATAAATTAACAGTAATGCATTATTTATAATAATGCATATAACATAACAATAATGCACATTATTTGTAATGCTCCTTCCTTGATGTTGGCCAATGCAAATACGTCTCCTTGGCTTTGTGAATGTGAAGTGCTTTACTCATGAAGCTTCAGCTCAGTTTGCTAAAATACTGCTATCATCTGGACGCTTTTGATAATAACAGCATGTGGAGCTACTCATGCACATAATTGGAAAAAAACGTATTGTTTGCTGCATTGGTTAACTGGTTATAATAAACGTTGGTTGTTCTCATAGGTTATTTATGCATTTGATGTCCAATATTGGTTTTATATAGAATAAAGATTTATCACATTTGTTTAACTATATTAGTGAGGACATTGCATTCATGACCTCTAGACTGGACTATTGTAATGCACTGCTAGGTGGTTGTCCTGCATCCTCAATAAACAAGCTACAGGTGGTCCAAAATGCAGCAGCTAGAGTCCTTACCAGGTCAAGAAAATATGATCATATTACCCCAATTTTACAGTCTCTGCACTGGCTACCTATTAAGTTCAAACCTGGGTTGGTTGCTTAAGAAAAACTAAAAGCAGAGCCTTTCTTTCTCCAGCCTGGACTGCATTGTGTTCTTTTTTAACTGGCTGTTGGGAGATAATATCACATATTGAACACATGCAGTGTTGGGGAAAGTTATACTTTTAAAAGTAATGCATAACAATATTGCGTTACTCCATTAAAAAGTAAATAATTGCATTACTTAGTTACTTGTAACATATGTTACAAGTCTGATATTACAAAAAAATGACACTGAAGTTTGCAAGACAGATTAAACAAAAATCATTCTAATATAAGACAGTTTTGAACACAGTGTTTGAAATCAACACAAAAACATTCAAAGCCTTATTGTAACTTAGATACTGGAGCAACTCTTGTCTCTTGATGAGTTTTGAATGCTGTACAAACACTTTCAGGAGTTCAAACCAGAGAAGAAACATACATATACGGGTGTAAACATAAGCAATTTTATTTACATTTTACATTTAATTTAATTTAATTTTACAACCATTTTAAACAGTAAACAAACTGTACAAACACCTTCAGGAGAACATAAAACACATCAATAGAAAAGCTCACAAGTAACAATACACAAAATAGAGTAAACATTCTATTCACATATATATATATACAATTAAAAAAACAACAACTAGTATATGGAATATTATTCCTCATTGTATTTTCTCACCGTTTGGAGCTCTTCATTTTATTTTGCTTTGTAACTACAGTATTTCTAAACTTCTGTTAAAATGATCTAATTTTCACAAACAAATGCTTCTCTGCTGGACTTTAATCTATAAACATAATTTCTCACCTAACAGATGTTTCATACGGAATAATAAACATATTTTATACAAATCTAAATCATTGTTTTTTTTTTTTAGTTTTGGTGAGCCAACATTTCAACCAAGAAGGTCTTCTGTTAACTTATTCTGAATTTTTGTCACTTTTGTGGTCTACATACAAACGTTTTTTCGTTTGTTTTCTTTATTCAACCAGATTTGGGTTAGATATCTGCTGGTTTGTTAGAGATCATAACATGCCCAGCTTTCAACTTGTTTTGAAAATATTTTATTTGGGTTTTTCACTTACGACATGTCATTCCACAAGGAATATTGATTCATTTGGTACTTTTATTGGCAAAGTTTAGTATACATAAATGCAAGTATGTGGATTATAAACCATTATTTTACATTTTTAAATCAGAAGTTAAACAATGCCTAAAATCTATTTATAATCTGATAAACAAGAAATTATTTTATTATTATTATTATTTTAACATTTAAATGTAATTTTATATCCTTCTTTCCTTGTCTTCACCCCCTGGCTAATGTAAAATGTTGAGTGTGAATATTTCAATAATAATAATAATATATATTAAAAAAATAATAAAAAGCTTTCAACACAATTTTATCGGAAAAATGTTCACAAAAATGTACAGCCGCTGTTATTTCATAGGCAAAGTTAATTTGAGCTAAATATTTAATTACGATATTGAAAAAAAAAAATTGCTAACGCATTATAAAGTAATATAACGTAAAGGAAACGGCGCTGAGCTTCGCTTCGTTTGAACCGCATACTGAAGCAGTCACGTGGTTTTCAGACCCCCCCCCGAACATGATTTTTACCGGAAAACCTGGCAACCCTGGATACAGTGCTTTGATGTGAAAAGTGTTGTTGTTGTTGTTGTTGATACAAGCTTCAGAGCTTCAATGTCGAGCATAACATCACTAGCCTATTGTGTTCTTGTTAGCAATGGATACCTCCAAAGAAACACGTGCAGCCATCATCGCTTTGCATCAAAAAGGGCTCACATGCAGGGAAATTGCTACAAAGAATATTGCACCTGAAAGAACCATTTACCGGATCATCAAGAACTTCAAGGAGAGAGGTTCGAAAAATAATCTACAAATACTGAAGCAGCAAACTTTGCAAAGCACAGAATTTATGTCACTGCAAAACTTTTGGCCATGACTATAGATAGATAGATAGATAGATAGATAGATTACATCTGGATAGATGCTGAAAAACATATGAACATATTAATAGCATTTAAACCACATTATTACTTGTTTACAGCTGCAAAAACTGGACAAGTAAACTGGATTGGATAAGCAGAAAACATCAGCAAATACTTTTTTCCTGGATTTTTTTTTTTTTTTTTT